TCTTCTTAAATGATTTTTTTATCGTTCAAGTCGAACGATTCTTTATCGTTCTTCTTGAACGATTTTTTTATCATTCAAGTTGAATGATTCTTTATCGTTCTTCTTGAACGATTTTTTTTATCGTTCAAGTTGAACGATTTCTTATCATTCTTCTTGAATGATTTTTTTATCATTCAAGGTGAATGATTCTTTATCGTTTTTCTTGAACGATTTTTTTATCGTTCAAGTTAAATGATTCCTTATCGTTCTTCTTGAACAATTTTTTTTATCATTCAAGTTGAATGATTCCTTATAGTTCGACTTAAATGATTTTTTTATTGTTCAAGTTGAATGATTTTTTATCATTCAAGTCAAACAATTTCTTATCGTTCAAGTCAATTCGAATCAAGTCGAGTTTAAATCGAGTTGAATTAAATATTTAACTTGACTCGAATTTGGCTTGACTCGCAAATCATCAAGTCAAAAAAACATAAACTCAACTTGATTTGAACTTGACTCGGCTTATCTGACTCGTAAGTTAACTCGACTCATCCAGAACTCTAGTCGTATATTTGGACAAAATTATGGAATTCGCAATCATACATTAATTCAAGAACATCTACCTTAGAATCTCTGCAAACTATTCAAGAATATTATGATAGTTTTCCTGAATTTTTAAATGATTTCTTCTTTGAAGTAATTGATGAATTGTATCAAAAAAAGACGACAGTATATAACTGATAATGAAAAACATGTCACAAGTTACCAAAAACTGTAACTTCCAAACTGATAATAAAAACTGTAACATTTATTATATCAATATTATTAGAATTAGCTTTTCCTTATTTGAAAATTTAGTTACCTCGAGTTTTAGCTAGTCTTGGTCGCATGCTAAGATTACTTGGTTCTTTTTGACAGTTATTAACAATTTGTCATATAAGTTCTCATAGTGATAGATACGAATAAAAACTTGTGAAAATTTGAATAGAAGAATCAAATCCATTAAACTATTTAATTTGAGCTAACAATGTGTGAAATTTAGCAATAATCGATAACATCGATTTTAAGGAGAAGAGTTTCAAGTTTGGTAATATATGATGTTACATATGATAACTCACATGCTACTCTGAGGATGGCCTTTCAAGCCTAATTGCTAATCGAAATAGAAACTAGTCTAGAACAAATCATCAAATTAACTGCTAATTATAGATGAGAGACGAAATCCCTTAATAACAGTCGAAACTTAGATGAAACTATATTAAAATTATAATAAGGGATACGATAAAACCCATTTGATACGACAAAAGCTAAAACTGTTGAAACTATATTAAAAATATAGAAAAGGGTATGACGAAATTATTTTGAGAAGGTTTTAGCAGGCATCTATACTGCTAATATTTTATTATTCAGGATGAATCAAAATATTGATGAAACGTTAAATATGTTTCAGCAGGTTATTTATGAATTATTAGATTTTAAAAAAATCAAAGGCAAATTAATTTACAAGACAAATTTTGATACAGAAACTATCAAACGCATTATACTTATTAAATTAGACTGAGAATGTCTTGATCCTTTTCCAAATGTTGTAATTCTGGAGCCAGGAGTTAATCTGAATTCAGATGAAGAAATTTTGCATGTTTCTGAAATGTATAAGAAAGACTTTGCAATGAACAATCATTCTTTTTTAGATATTGTAGCAGATGAAGCGATCTTTCATAGATTAATCAAATGTCGTGAGAAATGGCTAAATATAAGACCTCACTTAGGTCAATGGCACACGTCGAAGGACTTTTGTTCAGTTTTGATAGTCCTATTCTCTAGTTATAGATTACTAAGTTTGGCATCACGTTTAGGTGTCTATTTCTTAGACAAATTTGAAGCTATAGTCGATTATCAATCAACTGCACAAGTATTAGATCTTTTATGAATAGCAGTAGGAATAGCAATTAATATTTACATAAAAAAATGGAATGTCACTCTCAGAAATAATGGATGATAAAAATAACACTCATATTTGTCTCAAGGTATAAGAAACCATTTATTTTATATATTAATAGATAATTATATCATATTTTATTATTAATTTAAAAAATTTACTATATTATAATAAAAAGATATAGTATTTATATTATAAATGGACTGGTATCTGAAAGGTGCATCAGATGGAAATACGTATAGGAAACTTTGGTCTATAATGAAATTCTTTATCTACAGCAGCTTCACTTTACACAAGTGCAGTGAAATCTAACTATACGATAGCTATAGCTCATTATCTTAGCATCATAGCAGCTCATCCTAAATTAGAAGAAAGATTAAATTATAGTAGTGCCTTTAAAATTCCAAGTAATATTAATGAAGAATCACAGCATATTTTAGCTTTGACGAAGCTTTAGAAATGTTTGACGTAAGATTCATTAAGCAAAATGTTTGTGGAAATATAATTGATAAAAAGAACCTTAAAGACCAGATAAAGTCTTTACAGGATGAAAGAAAAAGGATAGACTTGTTAATGAGTGAATACCTTAATGATTATGCAGTTTCACATAGTGAACGGGCTATAAATTCACGCAAAAAATCTTTATGAGAGCTCGTGAATAACCTTATAATAGTTTTGAAATATCTGACTCTTTATCACATTCACTATTTCAAGAATATAAACCTACAGAAATGCATAAGAAAGGGCTTAATAGGCTTTTTAATTGTTATCCAAATGGTTTGAAACAAATCAAAGCAGTATATTGGCAAGAAATTTTAAAGACAGAATGTAGAAATTCACAAGGTAGAAGGACAATAGGAGTTGTTAGAACAAAAGTGAAAGATTATAATAGTAAAAAAAAGGCTAAAAAGAGAACAATAGTAATTCTAGTATAACCAGCAGTAGAAAATTTAAATGAAACGATAACTACTATCGAATCACAATCCAAACGAAAAAAAATGACAGATACCAAACATCGAACTACTGAAAATAAAACAGCAATTCTTTGTATATTGAAAATATATAAAAATTACCTTTTGGACGATGCTATTACTTCTGTTCGTGAGAAATTATCAGAAGTTTAGACTGTAAAAAAGGTGCGAGAATGATAGAATTATCATAAGGACAAGTGAATAATAAAAATATAATTAACAGTGGTAGAGTTAGTTGTGGATTCATGAACTGATTAAATTAGGTAGTGATAAATAAATAGTTTGTGTTTGCAAAACCGCTAAAATAAACCAATATTTTCATTTTTTTATTAAATTTGTTAACAATATAAAGGACATAAATACAATTTCTACAGATTAACTAATCAATAAAATAGAAATTGGCTATTTGGCACAAAAATCACTATCCTAACTACCTTTTATGTCTAAGCATTTTGATTGTGCTTGTAAAGATACATGTAGTCATGCATTTAAAACAGATTTTGAAAATTATATAAACTTGCATTTTAGGGTCAAAGTCAAAAAATAAGAAAAAGTTAGCTACATATAAAGTTTTTATACAAATATCATATTATAAAAAAAGGCATTGGAATACTTTAAATTGAAAAGTTCTTAAGATTCTTTAGTTCATTATTTGATCTAATATCACGTTGCATTAGACCATTCATTTCTTATTATTAATGTTACACACAATTTCAATTAGTGATCAGAAAGTGATTTGCTTTATCCTGACATGACCACTGATTATTATATTGATCAATTAATTTGCCTCGTAATGATCCTAACACATCACTCAATATTATTTTATAAAACAGATTAGAGGATTTATATAGGTTATATGCTAATTTTATATTTATATACAGTACATTACAGATAAATTTAGCAAGAAAGTGTACTTATACATATGATTCTACTTTGTGATTTTGTGATTACACGTGATACATGTGATGAAAATAAATCATTACAACTAATAAAAGTTATAGATAATCCTACCTTTTGTTGTTTTTTATTATATGTCAAACTATGTAAGTAATATCAGAGATGACCATAATTGTTTCTCTTCTTTTGTGATGAAGCATTTGGTAGGTTATCACTTAGCGAATGCACTACTTTATAGAAATTAGCCATATATTCTCGATGATATATTATAATTCTTATCTGCATGAAAATATTATATAGTGAGTACATAATACTTATGTTAAAAACCATCTAAAATATTACCTTGAATTTGGCAATCGTTTCTATTATTTTTGGTAGTCTCACCAGGCACTCATTTATTGTTGGTAATATAAAATCATCATAATTCTTAACCACAAACTCATTATTAATGTAATGCATGCTTAAGAAACTAAAAATTTTCCCTATTTAAATCGATTGAGTTACATTAATTAATGATCTAATGTAATCAGTGCAAAATGTGTTCACATTTACCATAGACTAATATAGCAAGAGTTGATAGTTGCGAAATTTCATTATCAAGATGTACACGTTGATTCCACAATGATAATGACATTGCTATGATTTGTGAAGAAATACAGCTAGTCAGCATATTGTTTAAACTAAATAGTGGGTAATAAAAGACTTATCTTTATATAATTTTTCTAAGTTAATATTCTTATTAGTTATGTTATTGTTAAAGGCATTGCCTACGACCTCAAGAAACCTGACTTGATATTTCTTTCTGTGTATTATCATGTTAATCACACCGTCATATTTCATTCTAATTTTTGACTGCTCCTTATTTTCCTTAGTATTATTCTATTGCACTTTTTGTATTTCGTTCTCAATTTCTCCAGTTTCAAACTATATAAAACATTCAATCATTTCAAATGCCCCTGCAAGCAGGGGATTCACAATTTTCAAGTAATAGCGAAGCTCAGAGGCTTCTTTATCAAATAGAGCACCTCTATTACGTAAAAATTGTCGAGTCCTGATGTAAGAAAAATAAATTATAATAGTACAGAAAAACAAAACAAAAAACTTATTACGAAAAACCTACAAATTAATAAATATTCTCTGATACCAAACAAATTCATCATCACATTTATAAGAAAAATCATCATAAGGAGGTTTACTGAATTCCATAATAAGTTTCTTGTGATCAACATCTAATAATTCATCAAAATGATCTATTATTATCTTATAGTACTTATCTATAAGTTCTTTCATTTTAGATACATTCCATTTTTCTTCGGTTGTTTTTTGGATATTGGCTTCAATCTAATTAATTATTATAAGTCAATAATTCATAATTTACCCAATCCAAAATTATATTACCTTTTCCTATTCATTCTCTAATGTTCTCATTTGATCAGAAAATGTATTGTAGAGTTCTTTTGTATACGGAAATTGTCTATTGAAGTAGGAAACAATCTTGTATATAGTAGCCAAACGATTCTCCAAATTTTTCAGTACACTTGATTTATCCTTGTAAAATGATCTATCACATTAATTTAAAGTCCAAGTTTGATACTAATAATATGATGTAAACTATAAATTACCTCAAATATAAACGAACTTAAAATGTTATCAGCAATATTCTCAATTTCATCATTTCTTTCATTACCTTTTTAAGTCATCAAAAAAACCTGCATCATCATTATTAACCTGAACTTGCGTCTGATCTTTTCCGGTCTTATGAAGAATATCAGTAAATTCCATCAATTGAGGCACCAGTATATTGTTAGTTTGATTTCCACCGGTTGGACTCTAAGTCAGCAAAATATATTAACAATATATCATAAAGACAAATAAATAAAGATAACTAACTCATCCAGTACCAGCGAAAAAATTACGCTATTTCATGAAGACAAGTTAATAAAATAACTAGCTTACCTTCTTCGAAATATTAGCTTTAAGTCTATTATCTAAATGATCATGAAAGTCAGAGTGTGCTTGACGTTTTATTTTCTTGACTTTTTTCTATTATTCAATATCTGCTTTGTAAGTACCCATTCCATTTTTTTAAGCTTAAATAAAAAATTAATATACATCAACTTTTTGGTTCTCTTTCTCATCTACATAAGTATCCCAATTGTACATATATTCATCATTTTTCCATTTTCTTTTTAAACTTAGTAATTTATCTGAATTTGGATCATCTTTTAAAGCTTCACGTAAACGTAACTCATAATTGAAAGTACCAGACGCTTTACTGCGGTATTTGAACTTTATAAAGAACTTTGTCAGATGAGGATCTTCGTTATTTTTTAAAAAATTTCTTTTCTCTTTGTGAACCTTGTCTGATCTCATAACTGTCTTTGTAATTGAAGAAATAACGCGCTTTTTATTTTTAAAAAAAGTATTTGGTTGAACTACTTAGGCACATGATCCAATTCTTTTTTTGATTGTGTCACAGATCATAATATAAATTCAGATGAAAAAATTTTTCCATTAAAACTGATTAAAGCATAGCTGGTTTACTTGAGCAAAAAAACTGAGATTACTCGCTTGTATTCTGCGAACGTTTTCAATATAAAAACCACAATCTCTACGCAAGCGTTTGCTAGGTATTAAATTGAAGGTCAGGAAAAAACTGAGGTTATTCATCTGGATAAGCGGGGACGTTATTACTATATACCTTGAGAGTCTGTCCGTAAATGAGTACACTCGACCAGATGGATACACTTCAATGCTTGCTGTTATTTTTCTTTTGCTATACATTATATTTTTGTTACAGGATGTATTTTTCTGCTATTTCTTTCGACAATCTCACTTTTTATCAATCAAAAATTATTTAGTTTAAAAATAAAAGCTAATTTTATTGATTTTTTGGAAGCATTAGCAAGGCTACAAAGTGGAGAATGTTAGAGAAGTAAGAGAAATATATGATGCTATCAAAGAGGGAGGGAGTACGCAGATCTTAAGCCATTTAATACGAGTCCTAGCATCAAATTATTTCTTTGCTCTCTCACCGTTTACGAAAAATATAATTTGTTTATATTGCTAATATTTCTAACTACAAGATTCTAATCCTTATACTCTTTTTCTACACTAGATTTTCGAAATAAATTATCCCGGCCATACCTACATCTATCTATATCACTACCACCCGCACAGATTATGTAAAATAATATTCTTCGAAAGAGAACTTTGCTGAAAAAAAGTAATTTTGATTTTATAGGAAGAATTTGAAGATTAGCAATGAGGTATAAAATAATAATCAATGCAAACGTATTTCTGATTCATACTCACCATTACGATTCATTTTCATAACATTCCATTCTACCTAAAATTTGTTGCTTAATACATTACAATAAAGGTAATTCGATTTTTTTATCGCCAGTATGATACAGGGTTGATCTGGCTACAAGTTTATTGAACCTCAATAACCAATAGCTAATAATAACATAAGCCAGTGATAGTTTATTTAGTTATTAGCTATTGAGGCGTAAACTGGTTACTTGTTCCAATAAACACAATAAACTTTAATTTAGCTGATCATTTATTGAAGTTTATTGGAGTTTATTGTCTAACGTCATTTAAAAAATTGATTATCGATCAAGATGTAACACTAATGTAACCAAAATAAATTTTGTTTTTCAGGAAAAAAAAGTTTTTTTTTTTGTTAATTGCCTTTTTTTCGTTTGTAAAATTTAAAAGGAGGGAAAAAAAGTTTGCCTAACTTTCTTCCATGTATTATCAGAAGAAAAAAAAACTAGCACATAGGGAATTATTATTCCTCTTAAACGCTAATTTTCGAAAAGTTTTTTTGTATTTTTTTTTATGTAAAAAAATAATATGGCACTGCGGGATTAATTTAGTATTTGTACTCAAATTTTATAATTAATATTATCAATTGGGTTACCCTTTTTACTTTTATACTTTCGTTTTAATCAAAACTTTTGATAATGTCAAAAAGACCACACGGTGGTAAACCACCACACAAATAGACTGGTTACTTCTGTATTTTAAATAAAAAATGGAATAAAACTTATAAGACTGCTAAATGTTTAGCTTGTATTAATGCTAATGATCTGTCATTGATAGTTGAAGAAATGAATAATAAGAGAAAAAATGTCGAAACTATTTAAGAGATTGTTCACGATTTAAGGCTCAATTTAATGAAGAAAAATGGGCTTCTATATATGCTAGTATTCTTCAGGAACAAGAAGATGATCGTCAAAAACGGTTAAAAAAGTACATAGTAAAAAACGTTCAAGAGAAGTTTATGATGATAATCAAGATGTAACTTCTTTAGTTTCTACACTACCAAGTATCAATTCAACAAGATCCTTATCTACACAATCTACATAACCTACTTTTACTAATACTCAACCAAGTAATGATAGTATTCTTTTTTATATGCCTCGACGACTTACCATCGAAAGTACTAAACATTGGCATAATCTTGTATTAAGAGCTACTGTATCTTGTGGTTGGTTATTTAGATGGGTAGAAAATGATGAAGCACAAGAAATGATTCATTTTGCCAATCTAGCATTACCTTTACCATCAAGAAAAAATCTAGCTGGAAATATTTTAGAAGACACAGCAAAAGATATTAAATTATCACTTGAATCAATTGCACAATCAGAAAAAATTGGTCTTACAGTTGCATTCGATGGTTGGAAGAATGTAGTTAAGCAATCAATTCTTGGAACTGTAATAATTACATCATCAAGATGTAGTATTGTGTGGGAAGCAAAGGATATTTCTGCTGAACGATCAAGATCTGAAAAAGCTATTAATCAAATAAAAACCTGGTTAGATGAAAATAAAAAAAAAGAATTAAAAATTATTTGTGTAGTTACGGATTCTGCTGGTGCATATACTGCAGCTAGATCATATTTACGTCAAAAACATTGTGAATTGTTATTTTTACCTTGTTTTGCGCATCAAGTTAATCTAGTTGTAGGTGAAATATTCAAAGAATCTTCAGATTATCGTGAAGTATCAACTAAAGCAATAAAATTAGTTTCATTTTTTAATACTTCATCTTATTTTTTGGGAAAACTTCGTGAAGAACAAAAATCAATTTATGATAAAGTAATTGCTTTACAACATCTATGTGTAACAAGATGGAATAGCCATTATATATGTTTTAATAGTTTAGTTAAAACTGAAATTGCACTTAAGATTCTTGTTACTAAATATGAAAATTTATCAACCTGAGATAAACCTTTAAAAGCTTCTATTTGTAATATAATTAAGGATGATGAATTTTGGTCTAATTTGACGATTCTTAGAGACCATTTAATTCCTTTATGTAATGCACTTGATAAACTTCAACGAGATGCAGCAAAATTATATGAAGTTTTACATTGCTTTGGATATTTTTATAAGCTATATAATTGTCATGATAATGTAGAATTTTCAAGAAAAATGATTGATCGTTTGAAAAGGCGTTAGGCATAATGGGAGCAACCTTTATTATTACTTTCTTTTTGGTTTCATCCAATTTATCGTGAAACTAATATTAATCAAAATATTCGTTCAAGAGTTTCACGCTATATTAAAGGTTGGCTTATTTATTATTATAAAGTATGGTTTGAAAAAGAATCTTAACGAATACTTCTTGAATTTGAAGATTATAATGAACAAGAATTTCCATATCAGATTACAGTTTATAATCAATTTCAAGGTGATGTATTGAAGTATTAGAATTCAATTGAAAAAGATGGAAGTGAACTTACTTTAGTAGCATGTCGAATTTTTGGTGTGTGCATTAATTCTGCATCTGTAAAACGATTATTTTCATCTATGAAAAATATACATAGTTCTAGCCGTAGCCGTCTTAAGGTTTAATTTTATTTATATTATATTATTTAATTTATTTAAAATCAAAATTTATTAATATATTAAATGATTA